TTTTGCATTTTGTTTTGCAACCACAAGAGATAAGGGAAAACAACATGTTGGTATGCTTGGAAGAGTTGTCCAGACAATTTCCAGATTGTCTAAAGAATTAGATGCCTTCCAACCTCCAGTCACAACTGGTAGAGGGAGTTCCTGAAACTTAACAGTGGCTTGTAACCAGACATTTGCCTGAAAATTGCATCTTGTTATATGCAGGCCTAAAGAATTTTTAGTTGGTGGCAATTTCTCAAGCTCCTTGCTACCTCTCTGAAAAACATCTACTCTGCATTGGTTTACCCCAGCTAGTGGACCTGGTGCACAATACAACCTGCAAACAAATTCTTCTAGATCCTGAACAAAGCAATCCCTTCCAATGCCATAGGGCAAATGAGGGTGCTCTTCAAAAACCTTCCAGCATTTCTTTTTCCCGTAACCACTAAACGAAGAAGTTGTATCACACCCAGTGAATGAGTGAAAGCCTAATATATTCTGAATTACTCCCTCAGATAGCTTATCTGTAATACTATTTACGGGAAAGCACTTTTTTGCTTTGCATTGCCACCAACCATCCAAGTTTCAATTTCTTCATTTTTTCCATAAAAATGAATTAATAGCAAAAGAACATCGGTATCTCTACACAACACTATGATTCTGTTAAAATTATTAGCAATCGCTTCATGTGCATGCAGAATAAGTCGGGTATCTGCTTCCTCATGATTGTTAAATAAGTTAGGAACCTCACCTCTTTGTGTTACCAACTCATACTGGTGACTAAATTCCCTCCCATGGCTCATAATGTATTCAGTAAGGAACCTAGCAAGATCTGCTTTATTATCACTTAATGCTACAAAATTTGCCCACACCTGAGGAAGACTTAAATCACTACGGTTAATAATTTTACGAACTGGTCTCTTTTTTATGCCTCTTTTAGCTCGAGTGGCTGATTTAATTGATTGTTTTACGTAGGTGTCAAAGACAATTTATCAATATGTGCCGTGACTGCTCGAAAAAAGACTCTGGCATAGTCATCAAAGGTCCTACAGGTTTGAGGTTTTCCAAGAGCTTAAACTAAAGCATGACCATCTATTAAAACACAAGTGTTTTGATGCATGGTTGGTGCAGGAATTGTGTGAGGGATTGTTTCCCCATCCATCAAAATGTTAACCAAATCTGACTTAGTTGTTGAGTTAAGAGTGCCAATGCCATTTACCTTTGCTAGAGAAAAAGGAACATTAGAAAGCTCATGTTTAAGAATATCATGCATATCAATGTTACGACCTGCTAGGGATACTGTTAGAAGACGTTGTAATAATTTCCTATCAGCCTTAATGACTTTTTTCTCATTCTGTATGCTAATAGAGGAAGCATACAATGTGGCAAATGTTTTTGATTTGTTTTTTTTTTATTGGATCAAAAAAGGCATATCCTTCCTTAACAGCCATTTACCTATGTTCTCTAGTACCATCTGTTGCCCTCGTTGCTGTGCTGTCAACATATCATGTTGTATATCACCAGTTGCAACATCATTGGTTGCCAGAGAAGTTAACTGATGCATATCTACATCCATCCTTTCCCCCTCATTTTCTACATTTTCAGCAATTTCTTCAAGGGCAACGTAGCCATCAAGAGGATCAAATGTATTTATCTTAAATACATTAAATCTTAAAAAGAGTTCTTTCAAGTCACTGACTGCATTTTCATCAACACTCACTCTGCCTGGCTGTGCGTCCTTCCTGGTAGAAATTGTATCATTTGCATCATCATCTACACCAAATAACACTCTAGTAGAGTGAGAAACATATGAACGTTCTGCCCATGTAATGCAGAACTTGTCCCTAGCAGTATCATTCCTAGTTATTCCTATAATGCCATTTGATATTTTGCAGATTTTGTTCTGCCATTCAGTAGCTTGGTCGAGAGGTATCTGGTTAAATTTTAGTTGACTCCTCTTAACTACAAAGTTTCCATTCAGAAACTCCTCATAAACTAGTGTATCTGTGTTTTGTAAGTTTTTCATTTCACACAAGTGAACAGCACCCCACCTAGCATAACTTGTGTGGTCATAGATTGTCATCCATGGAAGCATTGCTGAAAATGAATCTAAGTGAAGGGCCCAGTTACCCTCCCGATTAGCCCTGATAAAGTCTAGCAATGTTTCAACCTTCTTCATGTATGACCTCCAAAGAACAAAATTGGGTAAATGCTGCAGTGTATTATCAAATTCATCCATCATACCTAAAACATCATGCGTCTTTAGAGTAGTGACTAAACAATTTACTGCTTTAACTGCTTCATCATCAGAATTTCTGTGACTGAATGCCTTTAATATTTGATCTGTCATTGATTTTAAATTAACCTCCCTTTCATTAGATGTTAACCAAGAAGTAAAATATTGCCAATAAATTCGACTTAAAGCTTCATATGTTAATAGATGACCTCTTACAGCTCGATAATATTGCTTCCCTTCTAACATTGCACCAGTAGTATTTTGCGCAAAAACACCAGACTCAACCAATATATCTGCAAGCCCTGAATTTTCCATATGTTGACCTATTGCTTTAAGAAAGTTAAAGAGAACGTGCAAATGGCCCATAACCAAAACTACATTCTGATATTTTTCAGGGTTGGCCCAAATAATTTCCTTGCCTCTACTGTACAAAGGTTGATCTACTGCTATTACAGTATTTGGCTGGCCAAGATGTTTAGCAATTGATGTAAAGCGGTTAAGTATGGTTGTCATGGTATTATTATCATCTGCAGGAGCCTGAAGTATAGGCAACATGCCAGGCGTAGTAATGGGTGAGTTAACTAAGCTAATCTTCTCATTAAAAGCAGTCCAAGCTGGCACCATTTGTTGAGAGGTTTGGCACATACGTGCTATTATCCATGCCATATTTTTCATTTTTGACTCAACCTGATTATTGCTTTTATTAAACCACTTTTCTATTTCTAGGTCAGGAGGAAGGTTACTAACTGGCTTTGGCCTTTCACCAACTGGCATGCTGGCATGATCTAACTTATGGAATTGATCTAAGCTATCTCTTGTTATTGTTTTTGCCCTGTTGATGTGCTTAATATCTATGTCAGACCTTATATTTGCCTTTGCCACAGCATCATTTGCGTGCAATGAAATGTGTTTTTTCCATCTATTGTTCCCTCAAGCACATCAATATTATCACATGAGGCTAGAACAATACGGCTAGGGGAATATGGCACAAGCTCATTTGGGATATATATATGCCCATTTTTGTTAAACCTGTCGATGATATCTGAAGCTATTGTAGTATCAATTCTTCTAATTGTATCCATCCCTATTGTATGACCTGCTGCATGAAATAAATCAACAAGCTTTTCTGACCTAGTTGCCTGGTGTAATGTAAGCCCTAGACCAATATGCCTTGGGGTCAACACTCTCTTTCTAGAGGCTAAGTAAAATATATCCTGAGCAATGCTAGTGATATGGTCATCTAATTTAGATGATCTTTCTTCTAATATATCTGTTCCCCCGAAAAGAACTGAAAGAAAAGTATATAAGCTTTGGGGAATAACTTTAGCAACATGTTCCTTATCTAGCTCACACCATGCAGCACTATGACCTGGTGTATTTTCCAAATCATTCCTGATGATCATAGCTGTATGGACTAATTCTAGCAGGGCATTGTCTTGGAAGGGAACAAGGTGATCATTACCAAGATTGTCTTCATTACCAAGATTGTCTTCATCATCATTACTCACATATTCTAGGTGTTGTGCTACAGCAAAATCAGTCTTATTGTTGGGGTAAACAAGGAGGTGAGCCTTAGGATCTATGGGTCTAATAAAACCAGCCTTTTCACCAATTAAATTTTGGATGTCATTATAAAATGATTGCCTCCTTGTTATGTATTTCTGGGGGATTTGCATGTTTAGATTAGAACACAATTTCTTATAGTGAACCCAGATATTTCCCATATCATACACATGACCAGAGTTTAACCCTGTTAGAATAGCAGAACAAAGTATATCAAGGGATTGGTCACTATTCCTAGGATCCACGGTTTTCAAAATAGATATAGTAATTGTTCTCTGGAATTTAACCCAGCACTGTACATGATATTCCCCTCTGCAGCCACTAGGTCACATACATTTGCTAGTCTCACACGCATAACAACATCTTGTTTTGCCATTCATAAAATTTTATCTGACAGTGTCATCGTCATAACATTTCTGAGGTTTTTGCCTTCACTTGTTTGACAAAACATACATATTTCCCATTTTATGTTATGCTCATTTCTGCTGCGTGTGGAGGCCTTATGTGCAACAGTATTACTATTTGAAGCTTCATGGACTGTTTTTATGCCCTCTTGTTTCTTCTCAAGCCTATTTAGCATGCCTATATGGGTGAACTTGCTATAACAAGAACGATGCCATTTTAAATCATCTAAATTTATATTTTCACCGGTACCAATGGTAGCAAGTATCCTTTCAATAACACCTAGGGAACTTGTATCATTCAGAGATTTTCTTTTTAGGGCAACCTCAACAACCTTGATTTTCCCTTCCTCTGTTGCACTACTCAAGCCACTGCCTGCTGCAGTCTCACTGCCCTCGCAAAAGAAACACTTGGAAATCTCTGAATCTCTCTTAACCCTTTTAAGGACAGTTATTGGATCTATTTTCGGATATAAAGGTCGTTTTGAGCTAGACTCAACTCATTTTTGCTGCATAAAAAAATATATCCGAAGGAAAACTTCTATTGGCGACTTGATTAGAAGATTGCTTAATGTTGTTGGAAAGAACACATAAACTACTTGAAGCGACAACTGTAAATGTTATCAAAGTGAAAGCGGAAAGATTCATAAGCAAGTAGTACCATAAAAAACTATGAATATTGAAGTGATTTTTAATGAACTACATTATTAAAATAAGTAGAAAAAACATATATACAAACTTTACTGTGTATTCTTTGATGTCTTTGCTTTTCTGTTTGTTTTTTTATATACAAATTCGCTTTTTACAGTGTATTTCGTGTTGAAAACAGTGAAAAAAAAGACCAAAGTTCTTTCGAGTTTGTCGTTGTCAAGGCAACAAGGGAACACTTGCAAGTTAAAGGCAAGCGCTGATTGGTTATTTCGGGAGCTGGGGAAAGCCCAATGATCATTTCCCGGCATTTTTCAGAAATCGTAAAAATTTGAGCTTCAAAGGCGAAATCTTTCGTGCCAACAGGCCTAATAAGTTAGGTAAGTGTCTAAACAATATGTCTATATGTTTTGTTTGCTTGTAACACAAAATGCCATCAAAGGTTTTTTGAAGCGAATTTTGTCAAGTTGGCCGGCCGTCTAAGATATTCAGACAGTACATCATATTTTAAAAAATACAGCAGTTCAAAATGTAAACAAACCGTTTGTTTACATTACGGACTTGACTTCCCCTTTAAGAATAACATTTTTCCATCTTAGAATAATATTCTTATAATTAGAAAAGCAATCTTGAAATGAAGTTTAATATTATTGATAACATATATCAAAACCTTTCTTTCGGAAACTTTTTCATGGCCGAAACGAAATATTATTATATTGAATGAAACCTACTTCTATTGTATATCTTTCAATTTTTTGTCATATTTGAAGCTGAACGGCTCTGTCCTGTCGAATTGTTGCAGTTTCAACATGGCGGATATCACAATGAATTTGCATATGGCCAATGAATTTTTATTGAAACATAACAATTATACATGATGTTTGTGATGTTACTCTGTGTGTATGCCCACACAGGGCGAGTTTGAAAAATATGAAACGAACCTACAACCTTTGGAATACTAGCCCAATGCTCTGCCAACTGAGCTACGTGGTCAGAACGGTTCGAGTGAGTGATATTTCGGAACAGTATCTAGTTCCTTCGGCTTCGATACCAATGTAATCTAGTAAATCTGTTGTTGTACTCTGAGTGTATATTCACACCGGGCGAGCTTGAAAAATATGCCCGGCCACGGTGCATATACATTTAGAGTAACATCACAAACATATTCAGCTTAGCCTGCAAACAGACTCAGCTGAGAACACAACACCAACACAGAAAAACATTTACATAAATTCAAATCATTTGCAACAATCATCTATCTACACTTTAATGAAGATGGTATGATACACCGCAAAAAGTGATGTGTAAATTTACCCACGATTTTGCGTAAATAATAAATATCATCACATGTTATGACATCATGATTAATAATGCTGTCACATTTATGACCATTGGTTATGACATTGCCGATTGGCATATAATCTTTTTAGAAAATCTATCTCATTATTCGCTTATAAGAATTTTCATAATTTTTTATAATCATTTTTTGGTGGCCAGAAAGCGCCAGATCAATGCTTCCTATAGTTTCAAGCTAGCGCTACGATAGAGGGCCATGCGCGCAATGAGTTGTGGGATATCGTGTATCAAATGTCAGTGTGATTTGTAAATTTTCGACTTTTTCGTTTGAGTATATTTCGCCAAAGAAGACCGTGGTATTTATCTTATTTTGCACTGAATAAGTGACTCTGGATCCTGTTGGATGCTTATTGATCTCAGGTATGAAATATCACTGTTTATATCATATAATTATAACGTATATCGACCGTATTTACCCATTTTATCTTGTGGCTGTTGTCAGTGTTGTGTTGTGGCACCCGATTAGCACGTTTGATGCCGGCTGACAGCCGGAAAATTTGTCTCCGATTGCTCGGCTGCCAGCCGGGCTGTACTATAGTATACTATTTGTTCAAAAAATGCGCGCATTCCAGAGACTGGTTCTAGAATGTTTCATAAGCAGAAAACCACCAAAATTACATTAAATTTTCCGAAATGCATCTAAATTCATCTTCCCAATGCATACGGCTAGCTATGCGACAGGTAAATAAATGAGAAAAAAAATTATGGCAAAGAGAAAAATTGAGAATTATCCGCGCTCACTCTGAGATTCGAACTCACGATCCTCAGCATACACGCTGAGTGTTGTTCCCCTGCGCCACCATGTCTTACATGGAAAATATGTTAATTTATTGTATATATAGAGGTTATTCTTAGCCAGCGCGATTTATGATTGCGTAAATATGTGCACCATTGTACACGGCCAAGGGTACAGTACCAGCGGAGCCGTATCTACTCTTTTATCCCCGAGCCGGCGGCGCAAAGCGCCATGCGAGGGTACTAATTCCCCCCAGCTATTTACACCCGGGGAAACGAAAGCATTAGCGAAGTCTAAAGTTCATCAATCATCGCGGGCGCTGACCAACGAACGACAGTCTTGAGTGGGTGGTCATCCTCACTTATCTCGAAAATATGGCAAGCAAGATTTCAATTTTAAAAGACATATATTTGCAAACACGTTTCATATACAACAAGCTTGAAGCAATTTTGTTTGAAGAAATGAGAAGAATTGGTTTACTACGGGAAATCGGGAAATATACGGCAAGTTTGCTTTGAATATTTTTAAAATGTTTACGATTTTTGTTGCTTTAACTTTTTACGTATTAAATAAAAAACATGAACTATAGAAGCTCTAAGTTTCATAAATTACCGTTTAATTTGAGAAAAAATCTTAAAATGTAAAGGCGAACAAATTGATTTGAAAACTGAACTGAAATTACCTAACAATTTTATTTTATTTGTATTAAACTGATCATGTTTTGTTAAGTAAAATAGTTTATTGGGAAAATGTAGGTTTACTTGAATGAACATTTCAAAACATTTTACGAAGCATTTCAAGTTAAATTTTACATTAAATCAAAGCTCACAAAATGCAAAATAATATACCTACAGTGTGTATTTCGGAAATTTATTGTTGTATAGTTAAACGTACGAATCTGTCGACTATTTTGCAGTTTTGTACAAAATATATGAAAATAAAAATTTAAGAATATCGTGTTGTCATGGCAACACTTGAGCGTGAGCCTGCGTTCAGTGTTGGTCATTTCTGAATACTTCATGTTTAATTTATGGCATATTGGCAAGGGGTTACTGCATGCATGTATTTCTGGTACAATATTTACAATACATCACGGCATAGATCACAGAATATATATACAGGGTGTATCAAAAAAAGCGCAATCCTCGACTGAAATGTAAATTGCTAAACAAATAATAGACGAAAACGTTAAAGTTTACATTCATTTTAAAGCGTAGCCATTCAGCTTTCTAACAGTGGGTTGTTTCTTAAATTTGACTCATTGGTTCGCGGGTAATAATACTTTACGTTATTGCGATTGGAGATTAAAAAAATTGAGATGGAATAACAAATCGTTCTCATGAAAATAACTGATTTTTTCATTAAAACAAAAAAATGTTGCATTTTAATAAATGGATTGTAACAATAAGTATAATTACGGCTTTTCTTCCACTATTTTTAACACAGTTTGAAACTTCAAATGCGATATAATTTTGGCTTGGACCATCTAAGCTGACTGACATCAGCTTGCTATAATTTCTGTTTACATTACATCGCAATTCGATGACACTCTGGCTCAGACACCAGAATGTTTTGATTCTATGATTTTTAGCATTCGTTTAGGATTTTCAAACAACCTGGTCTCTTTTAAAATACTTTTAATTTGTTCTTACGTGGTTTTCCAGATGTAGTGACAACAACATTAAAGTTTAAAGAAGAAAATTCTAACATTTAAACCGACTAAACAATAACATAGTAAACTTGCATAATTAAACAGCAACTAAAAATGATAGGTTTTACTAAATCTTTTCCTGTGCAATTACTACTAGCATTGGAGACAAGGATAATAGTTTGTTTGAAAGAGAAAAGAACAGGCTTTGAAGTAAGCCTAAAAGCGTTTAACTAGAAATAGTATTTCGAAAGTTATTAAGCACAAAAGATGAATTGCGTTTATTTTGATACACCCTGTATAGGATGTTTAGTTGTCCTGTTGTTAGTAAAATAATAAAATTCGCTAATAAGAAGTACAAGGTCAGCGATTTGACGGCTATGATAACTACCCATAGCCACGCCTTGTGTCTGTTGATAGATGTTTTGTCCAGTAGAAAAGAAATTTCTGTTGTTAATAAAGTCGTTAAGATTAAGTAAAAAGTCACGATAAAAGCTGGAGAAGTTACGTAGTTTGCAGCTAGAGACAATGGCATTGATTGTGTCCTGAAAAGAGATTTTAGTATATAAAGATGTGAAGTCAAAAGTTGTTAGTTTGGAATTGTTTGTCTGTAACATGTTGTAGTTGTAATAAGTCGATTAGTTCAGATGAGTTGTGGATAAGTGGAAAGTGAATGTTTTTGGAATGGAATAGATCTTTAAGTTGTTTGATGATGTTATCAAGTTCTGTGCCTAGTAGTTTTGAAACGTTCAAAGTCGTCCATAAATGTGCAGTGATGATTGGTCTACCAGTTAAAAGATCGAGGTTACGAGGAGAAGCAGTTGATGTGAGTTTGTGTACTTTAGGTAACAGTTTCATGTAAGGTATTTGAATGTTGTTAATGTCAGAAGGGTTTAGTAGTTTACGTTTGTCTAGTGATGATCTATGATCACGTTTCCACGATCACATCTATGATGTGATCGTGGAAACGTGATTTAAAGTTTGTATAAAAGCTTGTTGCTCTCTGTAATGTGACGTTCTATGTTAAAGTTGTCAATAAGAGTATATGTGTATGTGTCGTTAAGATGTCGTTTGTATTTGTTAGTAAACGATGTAGTAGGTACAAGCGCCTATCCCATGTTTTTGTCTGTTTGTGTTACAATAATGTCTGGGTTGTTTTTTCTAGTTCCGTAAGTAATGTTTACAACATGAGCGGCCGTGTTGTATCAGATATACAAACTCGAGCCGAAGGCGAGAGTTTGTATATCTGATACAACACGGATGCAAATGTTGTAAACAACTTAAAAAACGGCTCATCTTATGAGTTCATTGGCGAAGTAATTTTAAAAATAAATGTTGTGTAAGCCGAGAAAATTAAAGTTAAATTTTATGTAAATCAACATGAATCTGTATCACATATACAGATACGCTTATGATTTTTCTTTGTGTTTTCTTCATGAATTATTAATGAGTTTTTTAATGTGCTGAAGAGTATATGAAGAAACGTTAAGAAGATGAGAGTGAGTAATGTTGTTGAGGTCAGTATTTTGTAAGTATTGTTTAGTATAAGCGGAAGTATTATGGATGTACTACTCTATGCGATTATAATTAAAATTAGGTTTGGATTGCTCTTCTTTTAGTAGAGTTGCAGGTGATTTCTTCGTATAGGTAATGTTCTTCTTGGATTTATAGTGGGTTTGTTTATTATTAGTGGATATGAAGGATTGGCCATGAGGTTTATTGATGGTCGATGGTATCTTGTGGTCGATGGTATCTTGTGGTAGATGGGTAGAGGTAAAATTATGTATTTTGTTAGTTGAGGATAGGTTAATCTGCTCTTGTATGAATTTAAGTTGACGTTTAGTGGTAGATTCTTGCTTGAGGTTGTTAGCCATGACAGTATTGGAAAGGGTTAGACGATTGTTGAGGTAGTTGTGGAATAGGTATAGGTTAGTTTTGATGGAAAGGAGACGGGTTTTGATGGAATAGCCTTTGTTAGTACTGATTTTGGCGATGTTATTAATTCTAGATGTTGAGGTTGATTCTGTGTTTTTCTTTATTGATTCAATTTTTTGTTGTAATATTATATTATCTTGTTCTAATTTAAAAATGTTTTCTTGTAGGGTATGGATTTGTTCTGTTGAGGTAGATTTGCTGGTGGTGGTGATATTGGTGCCAGATTTACGGTAGGTTTCAATGTTAATGTTTGATCGTAGATTGATAAGTAGGGTGTTGTTACGTTCTTTGACAGTAGAGAGGTTGTGAACTTGGAGGAGGTTGAGTTTTTGTGTTACGTTGAGATTCTTATTCTGTGTAAGACTGCGTTTCCATGATTTGATGTTGGGATGTTGGGTGTACGTAAATTTAGTAGTCTTTGGTTTAAATTTCCTTTCTTTGAGCTTGAGCTTATATTTAATCTTTTTTCTTTTGTTTTTTTTTCTCTTCTTTTGCTGTTGCATTTTAGAAGTGGAAAGGGTTTCTGTATTCTCTGGCATTGCTTCTGCTTCTATATATTTTATAGAGAATGTATGGTCCAAACACCAACTAGCAGCAGTTCTGAGTTTATTTATTGTATAAATATTATTGTCTTTTGTAATAACTACATTTAATAAAACAGATCAAAGAAGAAGCCAGGCAATGAGTGCAAGATGCAGCAGCCTTGGACAACAACATAGTCAGCAAAGACGGCCAAGTACATTGACAGGTTCGACAGACTTCAATACGATTTGTCAAAAACTGAAAAGGCATATTTTAACCCATTAAGTGCCAGCGCTCTCCCCTTGACTAGTAAAATCGTCTGGCATTAGACATAGTAAAATACTAAAGTAGGGTGCATCGCCACTCAATGGGTTAACTAGACACATGGGCAGATAGGCCAGTTAACCCATTAAGCGCCAGCACTCTCCCCTTGATGAGTAAAATACTAAAGTAGGGTGCATTGCCATTCAATGGGTTAACTAGACACATCCATGGGCAGATAGGCCAGTTAACCCATTAAGCACCAGCACTCTCCCCTTGATGAGTAAAATCGTCTGGCATTAGACAGAGTAAAATACTAAAGTAGGGTGCATCGCCACTCAATGGGTTAACTAGACACATGGGCAGATAGGCCAGTTAACCCATTAAGTGCCAGCACTCTCCCCTTGACGAGTAAAATCGTCTGGCGTTAGACTAGAGTAAAATACTAAAGTAGGGTGCATTGCCATTCAATGGGTTAACTAGACACATCCATGGGCAGATAGGCCAGTTAACCCATTAAGCACCAGCACTCTCCCCTTGATGAGTAAAATCGTCTGGCATTAGACAGAGTAAAATACTAAAGTAGGGTGCAGCACAGTGCATCACCACTCAATGGGTTAATCTAGCCAGTATTCATTACATGTTAATTTTCACAGGGGAATGAGCGGCGTGACGAACAAGCGATGATGAACGATCAACACGAGGTTAGTTATTGAATATATGATCATGTTTTGATTTTACATCCTACCTGCAATTAACAAAAATAAAAACAAAATCCTTCTTTTGTACTACATTAGAACAAGCAAATTCAGGGATGCACAGAGAAAGAGGTAAATGACCCGAGTAAATTCCCCACCCCTATCATTATCAATTTGGTTTAAATATATTCATATCTACCTTATTACATGCAGTCCATCTATAAATTAGGTATTTATTTCAGCTATAGGTCACTCCCACACTGCAGCAACTACAGCCAGTTATAATGGAGCAAAGAACAAATGAAGGTTTTTATTTCATGGCATTAAATACATCCAGATATATCATCAAAATATCTAATTAGTTCAAAAGAACTGATTGAATCAATGTCAAATAATATTATTAACTTTGATAATGGTTCATAATGTCACATATTAAAGAAGTGTCCCTGAATGAATAGAATATTTTCTTTTAGATCTGATAAACGAAATGAAGTCCCTTAAGGCTGAAGTCCATGGTTTGAAGCGCAGCATTTCTGAACTGACTGAGCAACAGAGAGAGCTTTTTCGTATGGTTAAGTCTTTGAAGAAGACCAGTGAAGCCAGTCACTTTGACATGGGTAAATGCTGTCACACTGTATGCATAAAAAGTAAAGCACATGTATTTCAACAAATTAGTGAAGTCCTTGTGACTAGGTAGCAATATTATTATACAATCTGTTTTTGACAGGAATACTGGCACAGTTTTACTGCACGAATGGTTGCTATCCAATAGCCACTGATGATAAAAAGGTATTCAAAGAATAACTTTTTGTTTCACAATTAGAAATACTTAATACTCAAGAACAATTATTAAATTAATATACATTACTAACATCAATCATAGATCATTTGTCCTCGGAAAATTGAATACCACTTTCCCTTTACTTAGCCTCCACACCCCTATATATGATAAACACCCACCCTCTACTTAGTCCCTTGTCAGTGCTGACTATATCTAAATTAACAATGAATAATAGATGATATACTTTAATATATTGATATTATTTAATCTGAGTTTATTATCTATCCAGTTAGTATTTACATCCCCCTCCCTCTAATAAGTCATCAAAGGTCTGAATAGGGAACTATGGTATTCAATTGCATCTAAAATGTTATTAAATTAATCTTAGAAATTGCTCGAGGAAGAATTCCTGGACTCAGCTTCAGGCTTGACCGTAGAAGAGCTTGTGCTGTGTGTCACCAAATATGCAGTGAGCAAATATTCATATTGGAGGAGCACAGAAGAGTAAGCTTTCAGAACTTTGTTATACCTTTAAGCATCAGGCCCCATTACACCATCACGCCCCACAAGTCACAAGTCTGTTCACTTTCTTGCCAGGTTCTTGGAATTAATGGCTACGAGCACTTGGTCAAGGCATCTTCCAATATTCTGGCCAAGTAAGTCCTTCAGTTGTTGGGCCAAAAACACAATGCTGTGGCAACATCTACAATAAAAAATACATCATCCTGATAGTAAGTGTACTACATTACCATATAATATTGTAACAATCAGTTAATCCTGACAGAACTTATATCCTCTTTCCTCCCACAAACATGTACTGTATAAAGCCTATCTACATGGCACAATTTTTCCTATACAATTCTGACCCTGGTGTATGTGATCGAATAAATGTGGAATCCGCACTAGTTGTCATATGTCAGAATAACAATTGTATACCATGAATCGGATCATGTAGTTAGGCCTATACAATGTATGTAAAATTCTTATAATATTATTCACTAAATATAGCGAAAGTTTGTGAGAGAGGTATCGGAGGAAGAAGCCAAGCAGCTAAAGGACTTCTGGGGGGCTTTCTACAACTGGAAGAATGATACCCTTCCACGACATCTTAGGGGCGGACCATTAGAAATCCCGGGAGGGGGGGGGTATAAAATTTTTGCGGCACAATTTTTTTTTTCTGTCTCGTGTCTCTGCAGGAATTTTTTTTAATGCATTTAACCTCTGCACGAATTTTTTTTCAAGACTACTTGTACTTCGCTGTTTGCTTGCACGAATTTTTTTTCTCTGACGTAATGGCTGCACGAATTTTTTTTCCAGGCATTTTCCTTTGCACAAATTTTTTTTTTTAATTTTCACCCCCCCCCCTCCCGGGATTTCTAATGGTCCGCCCCTTAGTTTTGAAGATTGGGAAAAGATGCGAAAAGAGGACATGCATTTCTATCCAGAAGACTAAGCATATACTTCGTGCTTAAGTCTTCTGGACAGAAATGCCGTGCAGGTTTATCCATCCAGAGTAGAACATGATAAGTCATATACTTTGCATATAGAGATAAAAGAGGTAGACAAATTGGCACACATATTTACTTCAAGTATTCTTAACCATTTCGTCTGACTTGGTTATGTAATCTCCAAATTTTTTTTCTTATCTATGACCTCCATGGTGCAAAGTATTCTGGTATTTAGACTACACAAATTAATTTGAGCTACAAAAAGATTGAATAAAACAGAATACAATGCAACACAAGCAGGTTGGGCTGTTGGGGCAGGAGACTAGTATTGTGGTGAGCGTGTGTGTCCCAGTTGTGGCAATGCCTTTAAAGGTGATATTGGTCTAAATTTTCACTGTCATTGACCCACTTAGATGTGTACCATGCTCCCAGGCAACCGGCAGGTAGGGTGAAAGCTAGGTGGTCCTACAAGGAGTTGGTCCTTGTTGACCATGCTGAGTTAGAACTCTGTAGAACCAAGCCTTGAGAGAGGATTGTTCATGCTCTTGTTTGGTGGGGGCATGTGGGGTAAAAGTGGACAGGTCCTTGTGGAATGATATTGTGCATGGGCTAGGGAATATTCGCCAAGCACCTCTTAAGCCCCAGCAGGGCTCAAAGTAGAAAAAAAAATGGCCTGCCAGTCTTAATTTATTTGGCAGGTGAAAAATAACCTAGACTGCAATTTTTGTTCATTAAACTGCTAAAATGGCGATGTCTCATAGGGGTCTCATTGTAAAAATCAATGTCTTCATGATAGGCATTTTTACGATAGTCAATGTCATATAATATATCCAAGATGGCAGCCGGTTGTTTGCAACTGAGCTCATCGTGATTTTTTATTCTTGTATTTATTGGTGCCTTTGCTTTACAGTTTAATCAATCTACAATTGGTGATACTGTCATAGAGTATTGTGAGCATTATATTTCAGAACTAACTCCTGGAATAATATATTCGTGTTCACAGACCATAAAAACAATCGATTTCAAAAGAAATTAATAACGCAGAACACGAATATATATACGAATATATGAATATCTGCCCCCCCCCCCCAATTATCGAGCTAGCTACGGCACTGCGTTTCGCTCTCATGAGAAATTTGATTATAAGAGGCTGTTTATATGGTCCCGCTTACCCGGGATTCAATGAAGTGTAACATATTTTGATCGAGCAATTGAAATACATGTTTCAGCCGTAAACAAATGTTAGATAACTTTAAATATTTTTTAAACGAAATTAGGAATGTGCCTGAAGTTATGTAGTAAAAGAAGACGATTAATAGCATTCAACTACATTTGTTTTTTTGTTTAAGACATGGAATTTCATACAATTTGTAACAAGCAATTTTGTTATATAATGAAGCGCGACTAATTTACATTGCTCAAAATACGCACGTCACACTTCATTAACTCCCAGGAGTCGGGGAAGCGGGACCATGGCCCCGACTTAATGGCATGGCGGCGACGTACAGAGTTCTGATATTGCTCAGAACTTCAACTTAACGATACCCCCTATAGGGTATGACATCGTGTTTACAAGTCTGATATGTTGGATAAGTTGCAGAAAAGTATGGATAATATCTTCATTTTTTGCAGTTTGTCATGGATAATGTAGCTGTTTAAAATTAATCAATTGTCAGTATTTTAAGGGTATATTATTTACATGATAAATAAAGGTCCGCATGATTTTGAAAAAAGAATGATTATTAGCAAATTGGTTTCTTAAAAGAGCAAGTCGCTTACATGCAGTTATTGTGCATATAACAAAGTAAATTCAGCGTATGTTCTATACATCAGGTTTGATATTACTTTATAATTTCTGTGTATTCGGAAGTTTATTTATACAAACTGTCAAACACGTCACTAATTTTACATTGACATTGTCATTGTAGTCACATCGCGAGTTTAATAAAATCTAGCCCTAATCTCAATGATTTATGCGACTACTTCAGAGAAAACTAAGCACATATATTTCAGTTTAAAAAAAGTAGATAATACGGATTGATTTTACGAGCTATTGAGACTTTGAGTAGTGGATTTAAGCAGGTTATCAATAACTGATCTTTTGTCTATTAATTATTATGTGTCAATCACGTGCACGGAGCTTTTGCAACATGATGTTCATATTGACTATTTATTTCTCTAAAATCCCGATAAACAAGCAAAATAATTTAAAATAATTTATAATTTATCTGCCAAAACCAAATAACAAGAGAAAACATGTATAAATCCTCACGTTTCGACAGCATCATTCGACATCTGAGCAGACTGTGTCTAGACGTACTGCCTGTCTATGAGTGTCTGTCTACATAATCGGCTGTATATTATAGACATTATAATTTCGTGATAACAAAACACCCCATAATATTTTTTTACACCAGATTTGAGAGCAACATTTGCTCATACATTTGTCTAAATTTGAAGGAAATCAGAGTTTTACCGGAAAGGGAAATGATTTTCAAAAAATGTATCAAACTTAAAATTTTTTTATCTTAAGGTTTTTGTTGTGATTTTCCCGATATTATAGTCAGTATAATTCCACGGTAACAAAAAGCCCCAACATAATTTTTACATCAGCTTTTAGAGCAACAGCTTCTCTTTAAATTCCCTAAATTTCAAGGAAATTGGAGTTTTCCTGGATACGGAAAATTAATTTTCAAAAAATGTACTAATTTAGAATTTTTTGGATTGCAAAATAAGGCGACTTGACTTTGAAACATCATTTAAAAGATTGCGAAATAGACTATCGTTGTTTATAAACATCCTATATACACGTTTAAAAACCGAAAGTGAGGTTTCCTGAAGACGCGAACTGAGCAAAACAAAGTTTTCGAGAGGCTATGACTCACTATGTTTTTAACTAATTTCATGAATTTTGGGTACATGTCAGGTTTTGATAATTTTTCGGCATTTAAAATAATATTTCAGAAAACAAACCCCATCACGTTTCTAAGTATACATTAGTGTATCACTGGACAAAATAAGAAAACATTTCATTTTTCATCATGTGCCACCAGTTGCTCGGTGATAGTGGAGATTCCCTCTTAATAAGAGTGACTCTAATTCAGTAGAGTTTACAGCCTCTGAATGATTTAACACAAATATTAATAGCTATTACAAGAACAATTTAAAGATCGCTCATCTAAATATTAATAGCATTTGCGGGAAGGTTGATGAAGTTATTGACTTGTTAAATACTTTTATGTTTGATGTGCTTGCTATTAGCGAAAGTAAACTTGACAACTCGACGGGATAGGAAAAGAGGCGCTGGGGGGATACTTGTTTACATACGGTCAACTATCACCGCAGTTCGGCGAGTAAACCTTGAGCCGGAAGGTATAGAATCTATATGTCTTGATATCAAGGGCTGTGGAAACAGTTGGTTTATAGTGTGTGCTTGCTATCGTTCACCTGGAAAATGTAAAATTTCGGATTTCATTCCATCATGTGTTGATGCAGCTGAACAAATGTATGGCAAACGTAAAGAAATTATATTCATTGGTGATTTTAATTATGGACGTGCTAATTGGACAAAATACCCACAACGTCCCAATCAAGATCTTTCTAACTTTATAGAGCAGCTTTGTCTAACAAACCTTATAACGTGTCTCATCCAGACAGGTTTGTCACAAGTGGTAATTTGTATTTGGGAATCAGTGACCATAAGTAAAACACTTAAAAATAAACCAGAAAACGCTAATTATTATGGCTTACGTACATTGATGAAATTAGGAAGAAATGTGAGTTATGAATCGATTTTGAATTTAGCAACTATGCGCTCGCTTGAACACAGGAGAGTTGAGCAGTCGTTAATAATATTCTATACAAGTTTCAAGCAAAATGGCCCTACCTATATTTCTATTTTTTTTAAACTTCGTAATACTCCATATGCTTTAAGAGGTAGTGGTCATAATGTGGTACAGGATGTGCATAACAGTCGCTATTTGCATAACTCCTATAAGTATATTATTTCCCATATTTGGAATCAGTTACCACTTTCTGCCAAGTCATCTGCCTCACCCTGGCTTGAGTGATTGGGCAACCACACTCTGTGTCATTCGACATTAAATAAATTATTCTATTCTATTCTATGATAGGTATAAACTTGTTTATTTTACTACAGTAAACTTATAGTGACCTACATTATCGAGTATATATGAGTTGTGGTAAGCAAATGAAATGAAATATCTCTACAGAAATTCACCAGCCATTTTTTCTTTACTTGTTTTTGCCTGCCATTTCTAAAATATGGCCTCCTTTTGTCCATTGGCAGCCAGCTATTTTGAGCACTGAACCTCACCAATAGAGAGCTTACACATGCACGACTTCGCTGGACGACGTCTTGATTATGTCATAATCGATGACAACATCGTCCATTCACTGTCGTCAGTTTGATAGTTGTGTTTATTTTGTATAATTTTCTTTGTCGTAATATTTCTCAAAATCCTGAAATTATGAGTGGTTAAAGATTGCTTACTACTCTGTCATGATCAAAATTATATTAATGACGAAGAGTTTCTTTATCTCTATGACATAAACCAATCAAAAAATCCTGATTTTCCATACTGGATTCATGATCGCTTCGACTTAGACAAGTTAAACGACAGTGAATGTGGGGCAGAATTTCGGTTCCTTAAAAGCGACATATATAATCTACAAGAAATATTGGGTATTCCAGATGAAATAAGGTGTTATAACAGGCTTGTTGTTGATGGAATTGAGGCGCTCTGCATTCTTTTAAAGCGATTTGCATACCCTATTAGATATAACTTTTTGCAAGGTTTTCAAGAAGAACTAATAAAAGTTGATTTTGTTGTTGTTGTCGTTGTCATTGTCGTTGTCGTTGTTGTTGTTGTGCTTGACTTGCCATTATTTGCTGTTTCCAATTTAAGTGCCAGTCAATATAGATACCTAGGTATTTAACATAGCTTGTTTGTTTAATGGAGTCACAATTGATATAAAGTTTAAGATCATGGGTAATTACTTTTTGAGGCGTACGGAATATAACGTAATTTGTTTTATCAGTATTCAAACATAGTTTATTTGCAGACAGCCAAGAATGTACCTTAATCAAATTGTGATTTATCAGCTCCTCCAGCCTCAATATACTATCATGCAAAAAAATAGATTTGCATCATCAGCAAACATATGAAAGTCAAAAAGGTCAGAACAATTTTCAAAGTCATTAATATATAAAAGGAATAATAACGGTCCTAAAACAGAACCTTGAGGCACTCCACAGGAAACATGCAATTCATCTGAACTAATAGTCTAATACCCCTTATTGAAACATACTGCTTTCTATTTAACAAATATGATTTAAACCAATCTTTAGCTATGCCCCGAATTCCGTAGTGGTCTAGTTTTGTAATCAGTATATCATGATTTACAGTGTCGAAGGCCTTACTTAAATCTAAAAATATTCCACAAGAGTATTGTTTATTTTTGACTAATTATACAAAATCTCTAATGGTTCAGATATATTGCAATATAAATTTTTTAGCAGCTTTGTTGGAATACTAAAAGGACCACTTGTTTTTGATATATTGAGTTTGGCAATTTCCAGTTGAATCTCATTTGCAGTGACTGGTGAGAGAAAAAAGCTAGTTGGTATTGAAAAATCCATGTATTCAAGGGGTGAAATATCGTTAGAACTAATTGAGTCAACAATTCTTGAACCAATTGAAGAAAAGTATTTGTTAAATGTTTCAGCAATTGTTTTAGTATCTGTGATTTCGATATTATTCTCAACTATTTTACTTTGTAGTCCCTGAGTGCTCTTTGTTTTTGGATTGACTATGTCCCTAATGCACTAGTCAATTGAAACCCCGACCCCCGGGATAGGGCCGGGAAATTAACATTTTGACTATGTTAAAGTTTGGTAATTTCCCCGCTACCGGGGGAATATTGACTGTTAAAGTTACCGCCCCTATGGCCCCGGCACTTTGCAAATTTTCATGACTTGGGAAATGGGAAATCATTGAAGTATAAAATGTTAACATCATGTGAAGGCAATTCTTGATCTTAAACTTTGATCCGCATCAAAAGATACTGAATAATCTACGTTTTGAGTATCTTGCAGTCGCTTGTGTGATGTTACTCTGAGTGTATATCCACACCAGGCAGGCTTGAAAAATATGCCTGGCCACGGTGGGAATGGAACCTACGACCTTTGGAATACTAGCCCAACGCTCTGCCAACTGAGCTACGGGGTCAGGTCAGTTCGACTATGCGATATTTCGAAACTGAGTCTAGTTCCTTAGATATCAGTGTAATGTAATAATCTGATATTCGGCTGTGTTGGTGTAGGCCCTAATGTATTCAGGTGAATAAGATGCTTGTGTGATGTTACTCTGAGTGTATATCCACACCGGGCAGGCTTGAAAAATATGCCTGGCCACGGTGGGAATCGAACCTACGACCTTTGGAACACTAGCCCAACGCTCTGCTGACTGAGCTGCGCGGTCAGGTTGGTTCGAGTATGCCATATTGTCTAGTTCGTGAGTTAGATAGTGAGTCTAGTTCCTTCGATATCAGTCATCATCAGGAATATATAAAAAGTGAAAATATATTCCCTTTTTTTAAGAAAAACTATGAGGAAACAATTCTCTGATTTCGAAGATTCCGCCATGTTGCCGCGAGGATAAACTCGTTCCAGTCCACTTTCATATCAGCCATGCATTAAAGTCCCGGCTATTGTCCCAGCTAACAAATTGACTTGTTATTTACCCTGTACCCCGGGGAAAATGGTGTGTTAAAACCATGTTAATCCATGGTCATTCCCCCGTTCATTCCCCGCCCTGTCCCGGGGGGCCGGGGTTTCAATTGACTAGTGCATAATTCCAGTCCATATTTTTTTTAAATTAGAAGAGTTTTCTTTAAAAAAATTTTGGTAATAATTTTTCTTGCTCAATTTTATAAGTTTGCCAAGTTTATTGCTATATCTTCTGTATTCCAAAATTAGAAATTCATTATTACTTCCTAACTGTTTCCTATATAGTCGATTTTTTTGTTTAATAGACACTTTTATTGCTGAAGTGATCCATGGTTTAAGGCTAAAACTGACATCTTGTCTTGATAATTTCTTAAGTGGTGTATGATTTTCAATCATCTCTGAAATCTTGCAGTAAAAGCTGTTAAAAATATCATTCACATTATTATTTTGTGGTAACGTTACATTCCAATCAATTGAAGAAACTTCATTAATCAAAGAAGCCTCATCAAAATTAGCATAGTCTCTCTTACAAATATTTGTTTTAGAAATTTTACTTATGTTTTTATGAATTATAAGGAAATTTGGTAAATGGTCAGATAAATCTGAAAATATATTTCCACTTACAGTATGATAGCCTAATGAATTTATAAAGATATTATCAATTAAAGTTGTACTATGATGAGTTATTCTAGTGCATGGGTTGAATGATTTTAGGATGGAGATTGTATGTAAACATGGTATTAACAAAACTTTCAGTTGGACTATGTGTTTCATAGTTTAGTAGATTAATATTAAGATCTCCCATTAATATTAATAATTTATTCTCATTAGCAATTTTGTCAAGGATAGAGTATAAATAATTAGTAAAATTTTCAAGGTTTGCTTTTGGGTGTCGATATAAAACACCACATGTTATTCCCCGATCATGACCTTCAATATCAATCCACAATGCTTCGAATTCATTTTTTGAAGTGCATAGATCATCTCTTTTCGAGTATTTTAAATTATTGTTCACAAATAATCCAACCCCACCAGCATTTGATAGAGAAGGTTGTGATAAAAAAATTATACCCACTAATGTCAGTATTAATTATACACTCTTGTTGCTGTTTTATCTTTGTTTCTGAAATTCCAATCACAGAAAATGGAAACTTTAATTGGGAGAGTAGTAAAGAAAGTTTATCAATATTGGCTGCAAGACTCCTAATATTACAGTGTATGGTTGAAAAAAGATCATGTTTGGATAAAGAGGAAATTTCCCTACAATTGAGAAAATCCTGCTTGGAATAATAATTAAAATTTATCTGACTAGGAACATGTTGATCAACATTTTGTAAGATTGGAATCTTTGATATTGCTGAGGCAACACCAAAGCTAGGCAAATCATGCAATCTAAGTCACTGATGATTAACATTAAATATACAAGTTCCATATATTATTAAGCCTTGCACTAATTTACCACACAACAAATATTAAATAGATTGGCAATATATAAACTTATCTTGAAAGTCTATGCAGATCTTGAATGTTCTCGATAAGTATAGCTGAGCTGTCTTTATCCTTACGTAAATAGATTTTCCCATAACGAGTCCATATAAATTGAAAACCAATTTCCCTTTTCTTTTCAAGACATGCTTTAAACAGAAGCTTACGTTTCTTAGTTAAGCTCTCCACCATAAAAATCTTCGATTCTACATGTCTAGTGTAGCCAAGATCTTTCAAACTGACATTTCTCAACTTAGATCTTGAAGTGTACAGCTTATCTCTAATATCTCGTCGTGTAAATTTAATCATAATAGCTGGCACTGGAATTGTACTGAAAGAACGACCAGAACGGGTACTGCCAGCAGCTGGGGTCCCCAAGCGATGACTAATAGATATATCAGTTTTGGTAATATCAATCCCAAGTTTAGATGCCAATTTTATGACAATTTCATTAGTATTCTCGTCAGGAACCAAAGGAATCCCTCTTATTTCGACACATTCTCGTCTTCCATACTGCTCAAGTTCGTCTTGAGCAATTTTCAATAGATCATTTTCACCCTTTGTGTTAGCAAGATCACGTTTTAAAATAGAGTTCTCATCTTTTAGCTTTTTCATTCCTGCTTCCATATTTATAGCTTTATCATTTAGCTCATCATATTTTGCACTTAGAAACGATAATGAACACATAGCCTCCAAATTAAGATAGCCTCCAAATTTTTAATTTCTGTTGCCATATTGACGAATATGCTTATAAGGACATAAAAACATATAAATAGTAAAAGAACAGTAATCATTGACACCAGATTGATATGGATTGAGTAAGCATTTTACGGAGCGATAAAACAACCTCCATCTTGCTTGGTGACCAGGCCTGTTGTTGATACTGTTCCATAATAGTCTTCTGAAAGTCCATGAACTGTTGTTGCTGCTGTTTCTGCAATGTCATCTCCACTTCCCTGTTGTTTTCTACTTCTTTTTTCTTAATTTCCAGTTCAGCCTTTCGTAGCTCAAATTCCTTTTCAGATTTTTCTTGTAAATATACCAATGTTTCTCCTCCTGTGGCTCGTTTCCTCTTTGGCTTAGGTTCACTTTCCCCACTTTCAAGTTGTCTTTTTCTACTCCCTCCATAACTTACCATTGCCTTAACTCTGAGCTCTTCTGCTTGCTTTCAGTTATTCTCTATCTTTTGCTGTTTGTCGTAGGAATCCATGGCCAGAAATTCAGGACAGTCAGCGGAAAGACGCGCGGGCTCATATTGTAGCATTTTCAAAATGGCGGTTCGATTTTACAAAGAACTGAACAACTTGAGTACGGCTGATTTTATAGCATACAAAGCGACACCAAGAAGGGGGAAACTTTATGAAATTGAACGAGTCATTGCAAAGAAGATGCGTAAGGGAAAGGTAAGTTATTTAATATGTTAACTGAGCAATAGATGAAGTTCAAAAGGATCAAAATATGTTCATGCTTTAAAAATTCATGTCTCTGATTGTTTGATATAAAGACTGCAGTAGTGCAAAGTGTCGACATGCTTGTACAATATCATATTGGTAATTTTAGGCCGTATATCTGATCAAGTGGGCAGGATACCACTCCTTTTCTAGAGCCAGAATGCAATCTGAATTTACTGGCCTTGAGGTGAGATATATAATTCAGTTATTCTTCAGATTAACTTGTGCATTGTGGCATACACACATGTTGCATGACATCCTGACTATGAAGAAGTGATTGTTATGGTCTAAAGCTGTCTATGATCAAAACTGGAGTGAAATTTTGTTTGATTATACTTAATTTTATTCAACTTTATTGTAGAGCATACATGGATCCAAGTCCATCCTCAGAAATAGTTTCACGTTCAGTTGATGCCCTACACAATGCAATCTTGGATAACCTTGGTTCCAGGAGCACATTGCCAACAGTGATAATCTTTCAGCATGATGTGTTTCGCTTTTTGTTTAAGAACATGGGAACAGCAAGTGAGAACAAAAATCACACACTTTTGGAAAAGGAAGATTTTGTTAGATGTGCCTTTCCGAAAGATTGGGATATTTTAATCGACAAGCTAGGTGATGGGGTCAAAGTGGCAATTCCCTATTAAAATGCGTACATTTTTGTCAAAGAGTCAAAAGAATCACTCACTATGTGAAGGACAAACGGTGGAAAAAGCTGGTTATTACATTGAGAAACTTAGCATAAACTGCCAAAAACAAGCATGTACCTTAATTAACATAACTTAACACAAAGTTTTACAATTACTTCATCATATTAGTGATCCACTGGGCTATTGCAATTTTTGCCAACCCCTTAAATGTTATTCCATCAAATTTCAAGTTGTGAAATTAAGCAATGATCTATATTCTGAACAATTTTTGGAATACATAGTCAACTTTAACTTGTAATGTATGTTTACTGTCGTTCCAATTGAAGTGTTGATAAAATATTGCATGAATTCATTTCCTCACGTTGATCAATTCCTACGAATTCAAATTTCTTTTTACTTCCTGTGCATTTCCGATTGGTCAATCGGTTCTGAAACAAAATCTAATTGGCTCATTTAAAAGTAACAGGAAGTTGATCAATTTTCTATCAAATGAATTGGTCAGCCTGAGGTAATGTATTGAATCAATATTTGAGGAACACTTCAATTGGAACGACAGTAAGTCTCCCTTGTCTTTATATCTAGCTGGAAAAGCTTGTTCCTGCCACACAAATTTTTATATTAGTTAGTTGAGTTTCTTCCAAATAGTTTACTCAGTGTTCACACTGTGTGCTCATCATATCAAACTAGTAATAAACAATTTTGAAATAGTACAGCGTGACAATTTTGACTGTGTAGCACTCACAATACAGTACAATGATAATCAATTAAGTTTTCGGCTTTTATCTTTCCTTGCCAAATGCAGTTCATGTTCCCAGTAATGATCATTTCTCTTTTCATATTTGCGCTTTGAACGCTCTTGGTTTTTAAGTTCCCATTGTCTTGACTCAAGTCTAAGGATATCACCAGTACTATCGAATTTGTTGGACTTGTGCAACACTATATTTCTGGCCACATCATTGTTCCTTTCTACGCCCTGTCCTGTAAAGACTTTTATGGTTTTATAAAGTTCAAAAAATTTGGGAATATGGTACACCATTATATGCATATAAGGTGTTATGTTGGCCTTCTTGTAACCATTCATTTTGTCTCTCATGGAAATGAAGAGATTAATCCATTCTTTTGTCTTACCATGGTAGTCAGTCATCATTTCAGCTGTAGGTTTTTTGCATGTAATCATTGCATAAATAATATAAAATTTTTGCCAAATTTCTTCAACAGTGTTGCAAGTTTCAGGCCGAATTATTCCATTAAATTTACTGGGAAGCTCTTTTAACAACTTTTTTTTGTCTGCGCCCATGTGACTTGTAAAGTCATACTGCCCTGAACCTTTGCCATCAGCATTTTTTTTCTCCCATACATCAAAGGAGATGCCACAAGATCGTCTTGCATCTTTGAGCTCCGTTAAATGGGTATTTGTGTGTTCGCTTTTCTTTCTCTTCCAATTATCACTATCATCCCAGTTGATAGCATCCTTTACCAAATTGTTAATCAATACATCCATAATTCTTAAAAGTAAGTGTAATTCATCTGGAATCACATGGTACAGCTCTATATTCAGTTGTGGTTTTCTCACAGAGCAATAACTTTCTTTCAAACTCTTGGTTGCTGACTTTTTAAGATCTTCCAAAGTTCTTTTCAACTTTGAAGAGCTGTAGTATTCAAGGTCGTACTTCATATTCCATCTTTCATCCCTGTGTACCTTACACCAAGATCACGCATAGTTTGATGTAGCACCACTAAGTCCCAGAAGGAGAAGAATAAATTTGTAATCCCCCCTTAAAAAGAATTCCAAATTGATTGTTTGCCCGTCCACATCTATTTTCTTATCTAAGGGAAAGTACATTTATTACACCGAGGGAGGGGGATGAAGATGTCTTGAAAAAAGCTCCTATTTTTACAGGGCCCCTGTTGAGGTTATCGGTAAATTTCAATGCCCCCCCCTCCAAGTTTTTAAAATTTTCAATGACCCCCCCCCCCACCCCTCTAGAATTCGGAATCGAAGGAGTACAATCCGGAATTCTCTCTTATCATAGATACAATTTGCAGTTCCTCAAGATGTTTGATATACTCAAGCATGTGCTTCTCCTCAATAAAACTACCGATCTGCTGCTTCTTTCACCTCACTAGTGCCAGATGAAATGGCACCGTCTTTAAAACATTTTAAATTGGCTCTAGGGGTGAAATTATCAACAGGTTGTTGTTGTCCATCATTCAGCGTATTCGTTGTCTTGAACACGTTCATGTAGTGGCCAGGATTTCCTGGATCAGGGTAATGTGTTGGAACCTTATAGTATGTCGCCCCCACCCAACATATCTCCTGGCATCTGTTGCAAATGTCTTTGTATGCCTGCAAAAGTGCCAGTATGCTTCAATTTCTTTAATTTCCATCCCGTTTGTACGACATATCCCATAAACATAGAACATATCATTCTTGCAAATCGTATATGCTTTTTTGTTTTTGGAACTGCTACTTTTTGGCACGTAAATTACTTCACAAACCTGGCGCCAAAAAATTTAAATAAGCTATAGGTGATTTTGTGTATCCATTTAGAAGAGCAGACTAAGGATATCTTAAAACTGAAATCGGTTTCGAATACAACCATCAGGGACGTAGCAAAGCATCTGACTTTGGGGGGGGGGGGATGTCAGAGGATTATACATGTAATAATTATAATAAAGCTTTTTGTGATTGATTGGCACTCTCATACTAAGTTTTGGGAGAAAAGGGGGTCTGGGTGTCCTCTCCCCAGAAAATTCTTACATTTTTGAAGCTCTAGGACTGATTTTCTGGCGTTTTCTAAAGCAAATTGCGCAAACAAATTGCATGTAAATTGACTGTATTTTACAAAAATGGTTATCAGTGGCGTAACGTTATATCGGGGGCCCCCGGTTTAAAATTTTCGAAGGCCCTCCCCGCATAGTAGAAATGCCGAATGCACGAGTTGAGCACCGTATATGCACGAGTTTTCAAGAAATTTTTTTAATCTAGACTCTCTGAAATGCCATTTCCCGGACTTTGGGGAGAGATTTTACAGAATTCTGATGGTCAGAAAACGACATTGTAACATATCAGAGGCCCTGGCCAATGTATTTGCTCTACAGCCTGAGCCTGGGGGCCCCCCATTTGGCCCATTGGGGTTGGGGGCCCCCGGGTTCTCCCGGTCTGAGCCCATAGTAGTTACGCCACTGATGGTTATCATTTCACAAAAATAATTACTTTATTACGCAAATTTTACCTGAAAATGCAAATATTTTAACTTTAATTTCCTGGGGTCAAACCTTTGAAAAGTTTAGAGCCCCCCCTTCACTATATCAAGAACTTTCAGAGCTCCCCCTTTAATGCCAGAAAATATTTCGGAGCCCCCCCCCCCCTTAACATCTTCATCCCCCCCCTCGGCATAATAAATGTACTTTCCCTAAGACTAGTTCATTGATATCTGTAAATATATCTTTAAAGCATCTTTCCAATGATTCATAATCCTCTTTGCCATTAACAACTCCTATGGTATGATTTCCTTTGGCAGCCATTACATCATTACAATTGCCAGGTATTGCATACTCGAATAAATCAACAAATGAGCACTGTTCGATGTTTATACTGTTGTTGTCCAGATTGTTGTCTCTACTCAATTCAGAAAAGGTGGTTCCCGACTTTACTAAGATGCCATGCCAAGCTTTTAACAGTGGATAAGGTATGTTTACTGCAAAAAGGACAGTTCTGGCCATGTCTTTGGCTGTGCATGCTAATGATGGACTTTGAACACCGAGTTTACATTTTAAGAATGATTGGAATGCAGTCGGGCATGTATCCGACATTTTATTCGTATGTAAATTTTATAAGCACAATACAACAATGAGCCGTTTAAATACTTACTTGAGGTACAGTATGTTCAAGTAAACGAAAGAAAGTATTCTAAAATAGATTTCCAAATGTTAAAGATGCCCAAATTGAAAAGGTGCAAATAATTTTACCAAATTTTACAAATTTCCCCGCGAAATCTGAGCTATTTTATTGCGAAATCAACCTCACTGAGCCCACAAATACACCTTGTCAGTCATATAGGTTGCCTAGCAACAATTTTAAAGCAAAATGGCGGATCAACATTTACAAATTTGCTGGGTTTTTTCAATTTTTCGAGTGATTTGTGGTGCTTGCAACGCTCGATGTACACATTTTCTTAGTGCTAAAAAGCATATATTTGGTGGCTTTTTGGAACCTGTTTCTCCATCCTCTACGGGTTATTAAACTGTTGGAGAACAAAGATAAACTCAACTTTTATCGATGCAGACGTCCACGAATGTCCTAAAATGCTGCTCAAAAATGTGCAGTTTGCGAATTTTGGGAGAATTAACTATCTGGTATATGTGATGAGATAAGGTAGGAATATAGTTCTCGGGAACTGGTTTGCCCCATTTGAACTGTTTTGAAATTTGTTCGGTTACAAGATCGAGTATTTAAATGATGTTTTCGACGTGCAGAGCTCGGATTTATGTACGAAAAACGTTGGAAATTGCTAAAACATACATTTGCAATACCTAATCTATATAAATCGGCCATCTTGAATAATGAATGAGGAAGTACATTGCGTATGCAAATCGCCATGTTGTCCTGAATTTCTGGCCATGCCTTCTCAAAATGTTGTTCTGCATCATCAATCAACTCAATTATTGTATCGAGTGCTTCATCAATCTCTGACTCTTCTGGAGAAATACCACTGGCTGATTCTTCTTCTCTTGTTTTCTTTTTATGGCGTTCAACCAAAAGCTTCATTCTGTCTCGTACAGCTTTTTGGGTAACACAGAAGCGTATTTCTTGAACTGCATTAAGCTCATTTGCAATGCTTGTCCATGCACTTCCTCTTTCTGCTGACTGTGGTCTATATTGGTATGGTTGTGCTACTAAAACCTCCCGGCATAACACAATGTCGTGCTCCTCTGTCCATCTCATGGGCACACTAATGATAAAAATAGGGGAACAAATATGTAAAAATCCCAACCAGTCATACAAACACCAAAATTAATCATGATACTGTGTATTGTACCAATACAAGGCTACTATTACTGTCGTTCCAATTGAAGTGTTGCTCAAATATTGATTCAATACATTACCTCGGGCTGATTAATTCATTTAATCAAGTTCCTCAAGATATTCATACACTTCCTGTGAAAGAGCTAATTCCAAGTATATCATTTCTGGTCACTTCCTTTCTATTTATGATTGGTTAGTTGCACAAACAACAAAGGTGATTGGTGCATTCAAATTATTCAACAGGAAGTTTACAATTATACTAGGAAGTGTATGAATATCTCAAGGAACTTCATGAAATGAATTGGTCAGCCCGAGGTAATGTATTGAATCAATATTTGAGCAGCACTTCAATTGGAACGACAGTAACCATTAATTTTGCAAAGCCCAAATACCAGACGATTTTTATCAATGGAAGATAAGGCTACTGCCAGTTTATAAATAATGGGTTAATACATACACGTGTTGTAAATGTATGTATGTGTCAAATATCTTAGAACTAGATAATATTTAAAAAGAGTTGGTAAATCAACAAACATGACAATCATGCTATTCTAGATTTGATTTGATTTGATTTTAAAATACTTCAAAATTTGATTTTGATTTGATTTCAAAATACTTGCAATAGGTAGGTTGCACTGCAGAGGTTAATACATATTACACAATAGAAAATTCGTTGATTGTAGGCTCTAATCAGTCTATAAATGACCATTGGTGCTTTGAAATTACCAACTTTGACTTCATATGCAACCCAACTATCTCGGAAGGCAGCTTATATAAATCATATTAAGGCCCATTTACACGATTCGATTAGTTGTATGCGATTGTCATTCTGACAAATGAAAACGAGTGCTAATGCCACGTTATTGCTCATTCGCTAATGGCAAAATTTGAAATGTGACGTTTGTACGCATGTTTATTCGATCACATACGCCAGAGTAAGAATCGTATACAACTAATCGTACCGTGTAAATGGGCCTTTAAACAGATACAAAAACTAATAATTATAAAGAACAAGAGGATACATTCCCATTTTCTGCTCAAACTGCTCTTGAATAGTTGGGAAAAGTACGTTCAAATCATGGAGGAAAAGGGTTTGATCAGTCCCTTTCACCCTGTGTTTTGTTTTATACATATTAACATTAATGTATTAATTTGTGTATTAATTTGTGTTTACACAAAAGGCACAAAACAACAGGCAAGCACTATACGGATACTTCGATCACACACCTGTGGAAAAAGTATAGCAAATAACCACAATGGTAAATACTGTAAAATGATACTTACTTCTTTCGTGTTGACTTTTCCGCCATTAAATTTTCCTTCGATATAAGCTTCGAATAAAAAATGTTTTAGCGACGCCTTTGAAAATAACCTTTTGACGGTGTCGACTTGCGAAGGACGCCTTCAAGTCTGCCACGACGCATGCTCACTTCAAATATTACGCCACATCCTGTCGAATAGTCGATGTCGTCCTTCAAAATTCGTCCTTGCGTAAGCTCTCTAATGTATGGCAACTCTTAGGAACTTCTTTATGCCCCAGTACCTGCACAAAGTTGTGTTGGCACCGGTAGGAGATGGATAGTAGTGTTGGCTAAATACCACTATATTTGAGGAGAAACTGTCTTGAGGCGGTCTGCTCGGCAGTGGATCCCTATCTCCAGCCCTGGTCAATTCAACCTTCTTTCAGTGGGCTCTGAACCTACTTTCCAGTAACACCTTGGATGGTACTTGGTGATGGACAAGCCGTTTGTACACCAAGGTGGATGGGCCGATTGTGTGGTGGAGAGTGATTGAGTGAGGAAGATTTTTCCAAAATCAATCAGGAGTGAATTATATCAGTGCAACGGCCAGAGGTGGCCTTCTCTTTTCTAAAGTGTGTTCTGCACGTGGTGACTGAGGTTGAGATGTTTCATGTGACTCATGTATGCATCCAGGGATGGCTCGGCACATAATTCAGGTGTGAGAACCAACAGTCCGAAGATTAGACGCCATTATCGAGCAGTTAATCATCTCTGCTGTGACCCAGCAAGCTGGCCTTAATGTCTTTGGTGTTTGAAAGCCAGACTTTGTTCTTTGGAACAAAAGAAAGGCATACATAGCAGATGTCACTACCACCTTGGATCAGGTTGGAGGGGTTAAAGCACATCATGATAAGGTAGCCTATTATGATGAACCAGAGATTAGGGAAAGGGTCAGTATGCTCATGGGGGTGACTCACATTTCCTTTTCCGTGATTGCTGCCAACTGGTGGGGTGTGTTGTCACCTCTCAGTGCTGACTTTCTTAAGTAAGTTCTGAAATTGTCGAATTGGGACATTTCTTTATTAGCCATTCGGATTTGTGAAGAAACCTTTCATGTTCCCTGCTTCTTTGGTAAGTCTACATATTGTGGTTTTACTGATGTTGACTCCCTTGGATTTTCCTTGTTGTATATAATGTTGGCAGAGTTTAATCTCTTTTTATCTGTTAATAAAATCATAACCTAATAAAATGAATAATAAAATTAAGGACTCTTTGATGAATAAATAGCCAAATGCCGCATGCTCCTAACAGAATTTGCTGAATGTGTAAAAGGCTCTAAAGGCTTAAGAAAAGCAGAAAAGATCAGCATAAATCTAGGTCAGCCTAGGCTAAATACCATCATAAAAAGTAATCTGCACAAACAATCGAGTCCAATTCTTGTTTTCTACTTCCTCAACTGGCCTGACCTCCTCATGGTACCTAAGTTTATTAGTCTGAACGTATATGCCCGATACGTTTCATAAGTTTCAGGCCAGTGCTTTGTCATTTGCAGTTAGTTTTAGTATCCTTATTCATAGAAAAGGCTTTGTCTCTAGAAAGCTTCTGACTGCTTTCAAAACCGCACTTGATCATGCACCCTTGTCAAGGGTGTGGGTCTAATTTCCAGACAAGGAGTGCCCTGAAACACCCATTACAGATGGAAACATGAGCAGGTTGGTCTGTGTTGGGGCAGGAGACTAGTAATATGATGAGCATGTGTGTCACAGTTGTGGCAATGCCTTCAAAGGTGATATCGGTCTAAATGTTCAAGAGTTGGTCCTTGTTGCCCATGCTGAGTTAGAACTCCATCGAACCAAGCCTTGAGAGGGGATTGTTCATGCTCTTTTACCCTTGGTTTCCAATTGCCGAGTGAAATGCGATCTGGAATCAGTCGACAACTGGGGACGTTTGAGTGACATGTGTTGAATGGTGGCTTGGAAATCAAGGGTGGCACTGGTGGTAAATTTGTTTCCCTACATATAACCATTCATGTTTGTGACTTTAGAAAGTTGAATACTGAGAAAAAAGAGACCAGAATGGAAAGAAATCTGAAGAATGTGGGGATGGGAACAGCTAACATGGAGAGAAAACTTGAAGTGGTGAAGAATGAAGTAAGAGGAATGAAAACAGTTTTGATTGAAGGTTTTGATCAATGTTTCATTGACCATACCCCATTCCCGGTGACTAACAGCAAACTTATTCCATCCATGTCTGCAACCAGGGAATACAGGTATCTGGGGATAACATTGGGGGCAGGTGGGGTAAAGGTGCACAGGTCCTTGTGAAACAATATAGTGCAAGGCATAGGGAAAATATTCCACAAGCACTTCTTAAGCCCCACCAAGGTACGACAAATAGACGTTTCCCCTTTTAGCAGCATGCACGGTGGCGCAGTGTTCAGGAGTGATGTTTTAGCAAAGGAAATCTTATCGACTTTCAGCCTTTTCCCAAACTAAAAAGATAATAATTGTGTCTTAAGAAAAATATGAAACACAGCTATAAGCAGACTGATAAAGATAAAGGGATTGGGGTAATTTAAGCGACAAAAACGGCCTTTCAAACACCAAGGACCGAATAGCTAATTCCACGAAAATTGCCTTCGAATCAAGGCTCTCTGTCACTTTCAAGCGGTGAGTTATTGTATTTATTATTAGCATGACAAAATTACTGTATGTTGATTGGTTGAGAGGAGTATAATTATTTCATTAATTGTACTGCAATACAATTAATGATTTTCCCAAAACAAACAAAATGGCGGAAAGATATTTTAAAAACAAATGTGAAATAAAATTGCCCTAGGGGGACTAGATGAAAATACGAATGAAAGCACCAAATTTTGCTTTAACAAAAGAACTAAATAATAATACGCACAAAAGCACCAAATTTTGGTTGAAAGTCTGGCAGGACTGGGCTTTGGCAAGAGAAAATTATGTTGTCGAGAAGCACTTACTTATAACGTTGCTGGTACAATTAGGGATTAATAGTACGAGTGATGTTTGGCATTAAAAGATTATTTTAATATGTGCATAATACTGTACATTGTATATTTAAACCTGGCAATTTTTAGACTGGTTTACACATTTCTTCCCTTGTTTTTGTTCATTGAACATGGCATATGACTTCGACATTCGGTAGCTATTTCACCATACATATCTAGGCTTGCTTGGGGCTGTTTGACTTTGCATATTTTTGGCATGAAAAATATAAACATTTGTAGCGAAAGTTGCATTTGTCAGTCTACGGCACAGCATTTTCACTTGTTGTGTGGTGTTTTGTTTGTTTTTGTCCTGCAAACCGTCTTCCTGTATTTGCTAGCATAAAGTAGGTTCTAAATTTATTCTAATATATATATATATATCTTTTTACATCATGGCGGTTTACATCATGGTGGTTGTGTGTAAAATGGCTCTGACCCTATATGTAATTTTGAGCATAAAGAGTCCTTGCTTTACAAATGCAAGCTCGATATGTTATAGTGGAGTGAATGAAAATTCACTCGAGTTAAAGGAAACGTTCATCTATTCCTCAATTTAGCAATTTAGACAAGAGAGAGGTTTGTTCGTCCGAAATCGATATTTGGTTCAAATGCTTCTGCTGTTAGCTCGAGTTATGCCCTGGTCCAAAGAACCTTACATGCTG